GGAAAGAAAGAAAGAAAGAAAGAAAGAAAGAAAGAAAGAAAGAAAGAAAGAAAGAAAGAAAGAAAGAAAGAAAGAAAGAAAGAAAGAAAGAAAGAAAGAAAGAAAGAAAGAGGGAGGGAAGTATAGTAAACTATAAAACCCACAGCCTAATAGTTTCACTTCAGTAACAGATACAATAAAATAAGCCAGACACATTGCAGCATAAAGAAATTTTCTAGTCACCTAAGAGCAGCACAGAGCAGACAGCACAGTCTGCAAACCACATGAAGATGAATTTGCTTTTAAGAAATAAAAGGCGCCCGGTTCACCCTCCCACGTTCCAGCCTCCACCTTGTACACTGCCCTCCCCCATTTGATTTGCTGCCTGGGAAACCTGAAGGCAGCAGGAGGAGAAGAGGACCACCACCTTTGAGAGCGATGGACTCCCGAAAGGAAGCCACAGGGCTGTGTTTGCAAGAGCTGAGCAGAGCGGTTAAGGACGGGACATTTTGAAGGTCGCTCACTCCTAGGATCCTCATCATGTGATGTGACAGCCTATAGCAATTCCACTGGATCCAGAAGCATACTGCACATAAAGCCCAGCCACTCCCCCACAAGAGCGATGGGTCCTACTGTCCCAGTGTGAGTTATATATACAAAGTCATCTTATCCCAGTGGGTCGTCCCTCAGGATCCGTGCTTTGACGCACCTGTGTTGGATTCCTCTTGGATCACGAACCCAACCCCTCCATAGGTGTCTTTCCCCGAAAGAATGCGTGCTTTGTGCATGAGGACTCCAGGGGCACAGAGGCCGCTCTGCCCACCACATCCGCTCCCCTCTTCTGCTACTCATGGGTGTGCAACCCCTTTTTTTTCCAGGCTAGAGAGCTTCCTGGTTTGGAAAAAGGCTCCAAAGTTCCCGCAGGCCTGAGCTGATGCGTCGAACAGATGCTCAGCCCTGGCCTCTGGTTCAGCACAGGGCTGGGTTTTCGGAACGGGCTGCACATGGCGCATGTTGGACGCAGCAGCCCTCGTTTGGCCTGTCTCGCCACCACCTCCCTTTTCCGCTGCCTTGCCTCGAACAGCCTCTCTTTGCTACCGTGCAGCTGTCTCATCCTGGCTGCCTTGCAACTTGGAGAAAGCTGGTTTTAATTTACAGCTCCCGAGGTTTTTTCCAAGGACTCCACGTTACACGGCCAGGAAGGCAACAGATCAAGGAGGGAGAGACCACAGAAAGAGAGAAAGAACTCAAATTCCCACCCTCCAGTCCAAACCACCGTGCAAAGAAACCCCCTAACTGCATCAAGCACTGTCTTTCAGGGGGTGAGGGTGGGGGGGAGAGTATAACTCCCAAAGCCGTAAGACATTCCCACCTGCTAGTCCTACAGGCTGGGGATTAGGGGTGGTGTAGTCTAAAGCACACGCTGGGATTTCTAGTCACTATGTATGGGTATGAAAACTGGACAGATAAAAAAAAGCAGAATTGCTTTGTTCGAAATGTGATGCCGGAGGAGAGCTTTGGGGATGCCCTGGATGGCCAGAAAGGCAGATGAGTGGGTCCTAGATCAAACTAAGCGTGAACGATCACTGGACGCCATAATGATGAAACTGAGACTGTCCTATAAAACGGTGCCTCCGAGTCCCATCCCAGAGAGTTGGCCCAGAAGGATACCATGCCTGATGGTATTCAAAGCCGCTGAAACGTCCAGCAGAACCGACAGGGACACACTCCCCCCCGTCCAGCTCTCGGCGTAGGTCATCCACCAAGGTGACCAAAGCAGTCTCTGCTCCA